AATCAAAATTGGCTGCACAAGATAACAATATTTTAATTGTATTCATATTTGCAACAAGTGCAAATGTCTCCGGATAGTCTATTCCATGGGGTTTGAGTAAACCCTTTAGCCATCAATCTAGCTTTATACCTTTCAATCAACTTGTCTGTTTTGTATTTCACAATAAATACCAATTTGCAACCGACCATCTTTTTTTTTTTAGTGATGGTGAAATAAGTTCTCAGATTTCATTCTTTACCAAAATTTTTATTTTTTCAATCATGGATTCCTTCCATTTGGGATTTTGTAGAATTTCTCTCAAATAATGTGAAATAGACAAAAAAAATAGACAAGATAAAAGCTCTACAAAAGGGAGATAGAGAGTCATAAGAAACAAATTTAAACATCAGGTGCTTAGTACAAGACCTGACTCATTTTTTAAGAGCAATGAGTTTCTCTATTTTATTCTTTCTTAAATACCTCTTCAAGTCTGGTTCATCCATACCCTCGATATTGTCTCATTGAATGAGACTTTCCGAGCTAGAACTTTCATTCTGAATATAACTGTTAAGAATTAACGAATGGACATAACTTCTTCCTTCTTACTCTCCCCAAGTATTGAGTTTGAATTGAAATAAGACTTAGATTCTCAAAAAGTAACATGCATAGTTATAAAGTATTTTCTAAATGGAGGATGATAACACTTATAATCTTTTTTAGTAGGGAAATAGACAACAAATACATATTTAAGAGCTCAGAGTTCCAACTTGCCCACATTTCTAGTTTGGACAAAATAAATACATTTAAACACTTTTGGGGGAACAATATAACAACTTTTTCTTTACAAAACCTCAAATGGACTTATGCAATCAGGAATTATTAAAGATGTTCTGTTGATAAGATAAATGGCTAAAAGAACTACATCTTTTAAGTAACTTTTTAGTAGATTTATGATGAACATAGGAGATCGAGTTACGTTTAGTTTGTATCTTTTTTTCCTTTCAGCAATACTAATTTGTTCACTGGTGTAGGCACAACTCGTTGATGGATTATTTCATTAGATTCCAAGTAGGCACGGAATCCATCATCCATATATTTTGTACTATTTTCTATTATTAAAATCTGAACTTTAGCATCGAACTGTGTACATATAATTTTATAAAATGACTGAATGCATGAGAATACATCACTTTTTGCTTTCAATAGAGAAATTCATGTTAATTTAGTATAACAGTCAATAAAAATAGCAAATCATATGTTAACAGATAAAGAGATATTTTGAGTAGGTCTCCAAACATCAGAGTAAATAATCATAAAAAAAGTAGGACTTCTATGATTACTCATATGATAAGAATTCCTTTTATGCTTAGGTAGTTCAAATGCATCACAAAATAAAGAATTCATGAAAGTTCTTTTAAATAGAATAGGATATAACTTTTCTAAAGTAAAGAAAGATGGATGTCCCAATCGTTGATGCAACTGTAGAATTTTCTGATTGACCTCCATATTCCAAAGGTGGCTTGATTCTCAATTACACTTTTATTTTTATTCAAGACGTATAAACCATCCTGCAGTTTATTAGTACTAATTCTCTTCCCTGTTTGAAGATCCTGAATGATATAATAATAAGGAAAAAATTCAATTTTACAATTAAGATCTCTTGTACCTATACTAATGTATAAAAGATTGTTAGGAAAACTGAGCACATGAAGAATTGAAAACAGAGTAATAGTGGAAGTATAATTAATGGAATCTTTACCAGATACAGTAGTGTATGATCTATCTGCTATATAGACATTTTCCCTTTTAATACAAGGAGAATAGGTTAGGAAATTTTTAGAAGAGTCTGTCATGTATTTATTAGCACTAGAGTTTATAATCCAAGTATCAGAATTGGAAATAGTAGAGAGATGAGCAATACTTGATTTTACCATTTTTAATATACTACTAGTTGATTAAGGGTTAAGTTGAGACATGATACACTTCAGGTTTTGAATCTTCTCGTTTGAAAAAATCTCAATAGTTGATGAAGGGTTATTTGAACTAGGAACAACCAATTTCTTTGCTTCTTGTTATTGTTTAAAGTAACTAGAGACTGGAAAAGAACAATACCCAGTAGCTAATCTCACGAGGATAGAACACACTTTTTAACCAGCATCAATGGAGGCAAAACTAGACCCGAAAAAAATGGCAGCTGAAATGACATCTGTACAGTCAACAACCAGAAGAGGCTAGCTAGGCTTGAAAACGGCAGGGGCGGCAGTAGTGATAGATATGCACAACGAGAGCAATTAGCCAGCAGAGGAGGCGGTAGGTCAGAAACACTGGCGTAACCAGCGGCGACTTTGTCTGGTGTGGTGGTCAGAGTAAATATTGATAGTTGAGTACTAATTCAGCCTTTTGTGCTATCTAAAGTTTGAAAAATTTCCTAAAATTATGACCATGAATTAGCTTTATTTGGCTCTCATACCATATAAATTTTTAGAGAAAAAAAATTATTTACTTTATTTTCTCATTCTAGTTGTGATATTACGAGAAAAGTATATATACATAATTCTTATCTGCAAATAAAGAAATTTACATTATTGTAGGAATTTTAATTAATTATACTAATTAATTACATCATTATAGGAAAAATTATAAAGAAAAAAATACCTAACAGTTTGTCATAATTTTTTTTTTTTTTTCTTAATGATTCTTCTGGGAGGATCCTTTATCCTTTGGGTATATGTTGTATTTGTCATCTTTCTTCATAATAAATCTTCTTCTTTTATTTAGAAAAACAAAACAAACCTAGGAGTCTACTTTTTTTGGCTATCTTTTGGGCTAAAGGCGTAGACACTATCATAACACTAGTATTTCAGCACTTCATCATAGTTGGAATGATATCGTTTGTTGCTTATAGGATGGTATTACTTTGTTATGGTTTTTTTCTTTTTCCTTTTTGTTTTTATGATTCTTTGGGGAAGATTCCTTATCCTCCGGATATACATTGTAGTTGTGCTCTTTCTTCCTAATAAATCTTCTTTTATCAAAAAAGGAAAAAGAAAGCCTAAGAATCTAACTGGTTTTGCACCTAAGGGGAAAAGGAAATATTGCAAAGTTCGAATTGACTTCAAAGGCGCATGGCCTTAGGGAGCTACGAAGGAAGTAGTTGGATGTTAGAAGGGTTTTGTTTTCTAGAATAAGCAGTAATCATGGGCCTAGCTCAGGTATTGTGTTGAAACTGATATTGAAGCTAGAGGAGTGGAAGATGTTTTCTTGATATTCATATGGTTTTTCACACACATATGCATACTAGCTACCTACACATGGAATTAGCTATTTGTAGTAACAAGAATAAAGGCAAATAATCAAGAGATTTACTTCTTAATTAAAAAGTTATGCAAAAAAGGAAAATATATATTTTCTGGTTTTATGGGAATATATTCTGGTTTTGTGACAATATAGTCTGAGTTTAATGGTAGATAGTTAACACAATACTTTTTTCTTGAAAAAAATAAAAAAAAAATTCTGGCTCCATTTAGTTTCTTTCCCGCTCACAGTTGTCTTCTAATTTTTTTTTTTTTTGGAATAAAAGAGAAGTATGTGGATAGAAGGCTCCAAGGGAGAGCCACCCATGTACAAAATATATTTACATGTCAATGAATATATCAATAATTGCTTCTAAATCATCAAGAGTATGTAAGTTATGTCCCAAAAAGATGGAGCCAAAATAGTGCAGCCATCTATCTTTGATATTTATAAAGGAATCTTAACTATCCTCAAAAGCTCTATTGTTCCTTTCTCTTCAAAGAATGCAGAAAATAGATAAGGGAATAAGACGTGCCGCAGGAGAATTCAGGGGGCAAAGCTTCCCAAGCCAAATGTTCCGTACAAATAGAACCCGCCATAATCCAATCAATATCCATTAGGTTGTAGACAAGTGACCAAAGTTTGATAGAGAAGGGGCACCAAAGCAGGATGTGATTGCAGCTTTCGGTATCACCTTTGCATAAGAAACGTCTATTCACTAAGATTCTTCCCTTTTTCATTAAATTGTCAATTGTCAAAAATCCACTCTTTTGCTGTCTCCCAAGCAAAGGAGGCAATTCTGGGGGAGCATTTGCTTTCCAAATATCTTTGAAGGGAAATGCCCCATCATTTAGGTCATTAGGCAAGGTAAGGTGCTTGTAAAGTGAACTAACCATGAATCGGCCATTTTTTTTCAGTTTCTAATTTTTTATTCATCTGATAAGAAAAGTCAAAGGCCTTCAGACAAGAAGTAGACGCTTAATAATTCCTTGTGCATGAACATGGTCTACTTTTCTTTGGTTTTATTCATAGAACTATTGGAGAGGCAATATTATGAGAGCAACTGGATTTTGAGAATTTTCATGATGTTCATGCAATTTTTCGTCATATAAAAGCCAATACTATGAGAGCAATTGGATTTTGAGAATTTTCATGATGTTCATGCAGCTTCATTTCATCACATAAGATACCACTGTTGACAATTTTAGAAACAAAAGAATTTGAAGGATTGATCCATATTTCTTTTTTAGTCTATTGGACTTTTTGAAATAAGACAATGCTAGCTTAGTTAGTGACTATTTACACCTTCCATAATTGTTTAGTTTGATAAACAAACAGAAATAGTTTTCCTTTTTTCCATTGTGCATTATTTTGATATTCAGGTAGAATCCATGATTTATGCCAAAAAGGCCTTACTAAAGCCAGTAATTACCTTCATCTTTAAAACATTTTACCCAAACCAACTGGTGAGTACGCAAAATCTCATGGCCTTTTGAGATGATTATGTAGAAGTAAGTTTTAAGGTAAGAAAATTAATGCTACCAAATTGTGTTTTCTGCAATTAAATTGCAAAAAGAGGAAGTAACTATGTAACCCATCTCGCTTTGTGGGCTCTTATGCTCAGAGCACCTGATTCTTGTTTTTTCTCCTGTTATCTGCGATTTTTTGTTGTCTTCAGTGTCATATATACACTTACCTGTATTTTCTTCAATGCAATGCATCTTCAGGGGGATTGTCAATGGGCAAAATGGTTGCTACTGTCTAGGATCAAGGGACGAGAATATGATGCCTCATTTTCTAATGCACGTTCAATAATGTCACATAGTTTAGTTCTGGGCAGAAATATCACTCTTCCAGAGATTGATGAAATAATCTGCACTGTTGATGACATCGCAGAAGGAGGTGGAGAAATGGGAGCTCTAGCAACTCTTATGTATGCCCCTGCACCGATTCAAAGATGTATAAGTAGTGGTAGTATTAACAGGCATAGCAGCTCATCTGCCCAGTGTACATTGGAGAACCTGAGACCCACCTTGCAACGATTCCCCACACTTTGGCGCAAGCTTTTAGCTGCATGTTTTGGTCAAGATACAACTTCCAATTTTTTGGGACCTAGAGTGAGAAATGGTTAGTCCTTACCCTGCTCTGGTTGAACCCCACCCTTACCCTTTTTGGGTTTTGACCATGTGAAATTTATTTCTATTGTGATTGTAGTTTCTTGTGGCACAATTCATTTTAGTTCATTTGGCAATTCAGCTTTTACAGACCACCTAAATTGGCGTGACAACATATTCTTCTCTGCTGTGCGTGACACTTCACTTCTGCAGATGCTCCCGTGCTGGTTTCCTAAGGCTGTGCGGAGATTAGTTCAGCTTTATATTCAGGTTCATATGTTCTTTCGCATGATACTGATCATGTCCTATCTTTTTTTATCCAATTTATCTTTGAAATCCATTTCTAGCTTTCTATAAAATATATATATATATATTTTTTCTGGCATTTTGCTGAAAATTCTTACCTTGGATAATCATGATGCTTGTGAACTATAGTTTTTCGTTTCTAATTTCCTATCCAGTTTGTACTTCCAGTTTGTTCCCCATTTCCTTTTACAAGATTGGTTAACAATGTTATGGACTGTATTATATTACAGGGTCCTCTTGGATGGCAATCCTTTTCAGGCCTTCCTGTAGGTGAATCTGTACTACATAGAAATATTGATTTCTCGATAAATTCGGATGAGCATGCTGAGATGAATGCAATCTCCTGGGAAGCAATAATCCAGAGGCATATTGAAGATGAACTATATGATTCTTCACGGGAGGTACTTGCTCTTTTGCCTAAAATGTTCAATTTGTTTTTGCTAGAGTATTTCAGCAATTTCGTATGAGGTACTGGGAAACAGTTTCATCTAACAAAGTTTTTGTTAACATATATTTTCCTGCTCTAGTTGGGGTTTAGCGAAAACGGGCAAACCAAATTAATTCTTAATTTTATTCAGATTTTTCTCTTTTTGGCTTTAATAATCATTTCGTGTATGGCTGAATTTATCAAGAATGGATCAGATTTGATTTGGTTTCTTTAATAGTTGTATACATGTGAAAAAAGGGAGAGTCTGCCAACTGATTAATTTCTGTTGAGTTCAGTTCACTATACAAAATCTATTGTATTATAAGATTTGGGCCCTGGGACATGTGCAAGGTCTTCTTTTCCTTTTCTCTTTTGATATTATATATATGTGTGTATATATATATTTGGACATTAGTTTATTTAAAAGAAACTTTATTATTAATTTTATTGTGAATTAAATAGAAAAAATGAAAATATGTACCATGTTTATTTATTTAGAAGTATTTTCTTCCTATGTTATATTTCTTTCTTTCCTTTAAGTAGATACTTTACTGAGAGAATCAGAGGGAGTAAAAACCAGACTTTAGAGAGTCTTTGATTTTTTTCCAACCAAAATATCCACACATCAAGCCTCCCTTGCAAAGATAAGAAACTTTAGAGAGTCTTCCATTTACACTGACTTTTTTTCATCTTACTAAAGAAAGACAGTTCTCAACAGGTTGGTCCTTTGCATGGGCATCTCACCTCAAAAAAGTAGACTTGAAATTTTGTTATCACAAGCTTAAATCCACATATCCAGCCCATGCCTCATGGTCTTCCATGGGTTTTTATGTTGGTACTGCATCTCATCCACTCCAGTACATCTCATTGATACTTTTAATTACCATGTGCCACAAAGAAATAGGTTCCTGTAGAAACCATCATGAGTAGTTAACCAACAATGATGAATTCCTCGATTTTAGGCCTCCAGTGCCCAAAACCCTAAAAGTTTTAGATTTACAAAACACCTCGCAGCTCATTAAGTGATCTCTCCTTTCTTCTCCATGCCTTGCCAATAGGAGCTTCCTCATCCCTACAATCTCTTAGCCAACCCTAATGTATTATAAACAATTACAGATAACATATTGGGATACTAGATAAACATGACCGAATCATTGCTGCTCTACCCTTAAGGAAAACAAGTGCCCTTTCCAAAATCTTTAATCTTGTAGACTGTTTACTAGCCACGCCATACCAAAGTACCTTACGTTTAGGATCTCCACTCAAAGGAATGCCTAAGTGAAGTAACTTAGCATATTCAATTACCTCAGTTAGGTTACTCATGGTATCATCTATGACATTTTTTTCCTCCCAATTTGCTCTTGGTCATATTAATGAGGAGTCCTGAGATATACTCAAACACCTGCATCAGCATAAGCATATGTTACACCAACCTATCTTCATGTGATAGGAGTAAGACTATGTCATTCGCGAGTTGCAGATGGGGCACTTCTACTCCTTCATGACCACCACATAACCTTCTATCACTTTCTGGTCTCTTGGCCAACATTCGATGCAAAAGATCTAGTACATGTTAACAAGAGAGAGAGAGAGAGAGAGAGAGAGAGAGGATGTCGTTGTCTTATACATCAAGTACTTTTTAGGAGTCTCTGATTATAATTTTAGTAACTAAAACATTATTATTTCTATATATTGAGTTTTCCTATTCATATTAGTATTAATCTTTTGTAGTTTAATCCTACTTGGAAATGTTACTTAGTGAATACTATATATACCTTATACTCTCACTTCTTATGAGAAGTTTATTTATTCAATAAAGATTTTTTCAGAATTTTCTCAATTGCTTTGGTTGTATAATGTAATTAAACTCTTGAATATAATGTTTTTTTTTAATAGGTGTGATATAGTTTTCGTCTTTAAATCTCAAAATGGGAAAATCAACCATTTTATTCAGTATGGGAGCAAACGGTTACTATAGCACAAATCATATAATCCTATGTCTAAATAGTACCTAGTTATTTTAATTGAAAAAACAAACTTGCAAATATGTTTTTTTGAACTAAATAGTTTTTCTATTCTTATTAGTGTAAGAATTTCTTAGTTTAATCCTATTCACAAATGTTACTTAGGAAGCATATGGATACATCCTTAATTTCACTTTGTGAAGAAGTTCATTTATCCAATGAAGAGGACTTGAGAATTTTTTTTAATCTTTCCAATTTTATGATGTAATCAAATCCTTCCGTATGATGTTTAAAAATTCTTAGGTGTAATATCTCAGAAACTTTAGGTGTGATATCAAAATTTTCCTCTAAATCCCTAAGTAGAAATTAGCCCAATTTGTCCTACATCATTCTAGCTACCCTATTTTCTTGCCTTTATAACCTTTTCTATTGTTATAACACTCCTATCTCTCATTTCACTTCCCAAACTGATAATCAGGTTGTTTGAGATCTACTCTTTCATTGAATTATAGATGATTCTGAAGTTGTTTATGTGCTCTGTTTGAGTCAACTCTCGAATTAGTCATTTCCTCTTAAGCCCTTGATAATAGAATTAGGTCTTTATATTTTTTGACCATTTTTTTCTCTTTCAAATCTTTTTTTGCCTTTTAAACCTATAACGTTTCATTTCATGATAATGTCATTTGTGAGTCTTGTTAGAAGGTTGTTTCTCCCTCTAGGGTT